AATTTATAATATATTTTATTAATTATTATATCATTTATATTTTATATTATATTTACTGAATCAATATATTACTTATTATATATTTATATTTATTTAATAATTATTTTATTTTGAATTTATAATCTATTTATTCAATCATTATATTATTTATAATTTAAAATATATTTATTTCATCGTTGTATTATTTATATATATAACGAATTATTATATTATTTTAATTTAGAATATATTTATTTAATTATTATATTATTTATAAATTAGAAAATATTTACTTAATTATTGCATTATTTATAATTTATAATCTATATACTTAATGGTTATATTATTTATAACTTAGAGTCTATATACTTAATTATTACATTATATAGAATCTATATAATTAATTATTATATTATTCATAATTTAGAATCTATATAATTAATTATAATGACATTTATAATTTAGAATCTATATACTTAATTATATGATATTTCCGCTATATTGTGTGATATATATAGATAAAATTACATTTATAACTAAGTGAATAGTAGCCCAATTGGTAAGAGTTGTCTTTTACAACCTAAAGGTGGTGGGTTCAATCCCCACCGTTGGCATTTTTTCTTTTAGGTCAATATATTAACATTAAGGGTAAAATAGTAAATTCAATGTTAAAATAAGGGTATAAAGGTAAATTCAATGAAAAAGTAACGGCGTTAACTGGAAATAGCGAATGTGCATGTAAATATGAAATATGAAGGGGTTTTATGCAATTTTTAAAATACCAGAGAAAAACGTGCAAATTTTATATAATACAGGGGATTTCGTGCAATAAACCCAGCCAAAATACGAGTGCATTTTCATGTTAAAAGAAGTACTCCTCCGTTGACTCTTTCTTCAAACCTCCAATGAGATGTAATATTGCTTTTCCTCAGAGCAATAAAATATCTTACTTTTAAAAGAAGCTCCCTTCTCACATTCACATCACAGTTTCCACATATTCATGTTCAGTCCGATCACAAGAGATTTTTTTAATATTCCATCAAATATATTGTTGACGTTTTCATCCCACCTCAATCTCTTCAGGATTTTCTTAAGTAAAGTGATTAAAAATTTCAAATATTCGTTCGACAAGACAAAATAATAAGTCAAATTCCACTTACAATTACAAGGCAAATAAAAAGATTTCCACTAATCGTGCAAATTTTAGACTTTAACAGTTCATTTCTCGTACGATCAACACAGAGTTATGATGAAAATTGAAGTCTATTGACATAATATGGATTTTATTTTTTTTATTATTGTTATTGTGTTTACTACTGGTTATTGGTGGACCAAACCTGTGCTATACGTTAACCATGCTCAAACCAATATGACTTTGCGTTGACGATGGGAACAAATACTCCNAAAAAAAAAGGAAAAAAAAATCTTCAAGCTTCACATTTTGAACTAAAACAAGGATTGCTTTTTAATATCACACTAGTACTAACACCCATGTAATTATATGGGTGGGGATGGTGCCTCATCCCGGATCGTTTATGGACCGATTCATAAAAGTGAGATCGGTATCCGAACAAGTCAAATCCAGGATCGTCTCGGGCCGCGCCCACCCCTACAATAAATAATCAACATATTTATAAATAATCCGAACCTAAATATATTTGGATTAGAAGTCTACCCAAGCCTAATAACGAAGCATGTAATTTTGTCACGTAGGATCCCGAAGCATACGAGCTTGCCACATAGGCTCAACACGTTCTCAATTAATATATAGGGGGGATTTCAGATAATCGAGCCTTATTTAAATTTAGACAATTACGCGTCTATCATACTTCATTTTTGGAAAAGGCACACAAAAAGTGGATATATTAAGGGGAAATGCTACAATTCCGTTACGGAATCATTTCGTCGGGATTTGTAACTGTTAAACTGCCTATCACCACTAGCCACTGAAACGGTCGGCCTCCCACAAAAAGTGGATGGGAAATGCTACGATCTTATTACGGAATTATTCCGTCGGGATTTGTAACCGTTAGATCATCATCATGTAATCGTCGTGGATAGTGATCTAACGGTTACCAATTCCAATGGAATGGTTCCGTAACGGGACTGTAGAATCTTCTTTTGGATTAATAATATTCGGTACAATTGACAATTCAATTCAGTAGGGTAGGTGTCACAGGGTCTAGATAGAGGCTAAATTTTTCGCGCCCTTAGCACCCTATGCGGCCTGATTTCCCACAAAACCAGTCAGCCTTCACCGTACCTTGATCCTTCGCTCGCCCATACAAGTATAAATCAAGGTTATGCAAACAAGTCGCTCACACACATGCGGAAGCAATAAAATAAAACAGCGACGCGTAATATTACGGCTCACGCCCAACCAATGCACTTTTATAACACTAAGTACAATGGAGACCCTACAGCTTGCATACACGGTTCAACACCTACACTCTTATGCACGCAGGCACATATACATGCATACTAATACCGGCCTTACAGAGATTAGCCTTACACACGCACGGTATATCACTTGGCGTATGCCAACTCTCGCACCTACTAGTACACAATACACAGACTTGCTCACACCCTAGTTCACTCGTCTGTTTGCCTTGCCTTGCACCCTCGTGTTTAGCACTCAATGCTCTTTCCGAGTTCTTACAGAGTGTATCGTGGTCACTCGCTTGATCACGCTCTCGAGTTCGCTATCTCATGCTCGATCTCTCTTGTGTTGTTATGTCCCGCGCATATGCCCTCAGCGGCCTACTTATAGACCTCGGGTACAGCAGTCCCCCAACCGCTTGGTAACCGCACGGTAACCGACTGGCAGTTATGCACAACTGCTCCCTGCCACGTGCCCGCATCAACCTGATGCCAACCTAGCCCATGCGACAACGGTCGTCAATCGTCATACACATCTGTCCAACACAAGGGTCAATAACCGTCGTGCCACGTGTCCCTTGGAACCGCCAAAACACGTGTCATCCCGCTGCACTCAGTTGGCCATGCATACTCAAAGGAATCCCGCATAGGCCACGTGATACTAGCAATAACCGACTAGTACACGTGCAGCCCAACTGCCCATTTCAAATTCCAACCGTTCCCGCCAACGGCTTTAGACGCGGCGCCAACACTCGCGCACGCCCATCGAGCTGCATCATCCGAAGCACTCACGTGCCCGAACTCGCCTAAGTCCGACCATGTCTTGGTTAATTAGCCAACACCCTCGTCCGAGTTCATCGGTTCGCTTGGACGTCGCCCTTGTATGCGAAGCACCGCGCTGCTCCGCACCCTACCGTCCCGAGTTATCCCGCATACCCGCAAGGCCATGCACAACCCGCGGTAATCCTCGTCCGACTGAGCCCTCGACATAATCAACCAACATGATCCGACCAACCCTTGGACAAATATGGCTAAGTATCGCACATCTGTCTTCGTCGCCCCACGAAGACCCGACTGAACCAACAATCCAGCCACAAGAACGCGCCCAGCTTGCGTCCTTCCCTTAGTCGACGCCTCGCACCTTTGTGCTCGGTTCACTTGGACCTTGACATGCTAAGGGATCATGCCAAGTTCCGGGTCTTAATGTTACCCCTGTAACAGTAGGGCTGCAAGGTATAATTAATTTAATTAATGACATTTGTTAGTTAATAATTATTTTAGGTGAAATTGCAGTCCTAATTAATAGATATATAGGTGTAGCATGCCATTGATAGTAACTGGTCTATCAGTTATTTGCGCCATATTAAGCTATTTATATAATGCACACCTGAACACTTTGTGGACTTTCATCAAATTGTAGTGGAATCCCGAAACAAAATAGGTCACAACCATCTATCACCAGTTTGAAGCCATTCAGTAATATCCCGAAGAGCCTCATTGTCACGGCAAAAATGACAATATAAGCTTCATTGTCCATTGTTAAAGAGATGGATTCAAATTCTGATTTTGTTCAAGTTAATTTTTGTCGCTATAGTCTATATTTTATTTAGGCCAACTGGCACTTATATATATCTCCCGCACATTTACTACAAATCAAATCAATTGATTAACAACATGGCACGACGGTCCACAAGCACTCCGTTATCACTTTTAATAATTTGCATTAATATTATTCTATGCATGTATAATAATATATATACAGGCATGATTATACGCATCGGTGACGACTGACGTGTTTATGGTGTATATATGCAGTTTGTGAAGATGTCTATTTATTTTTATAATTTTATGGGCGGGCCATACTGAACAGCAACTGCATGTGCTATTAATTTCAAGGTAATTTTAGTTAACCCAGAAAATTTTCTCACATATGATATATAAAACGAGGAAATTTTCAAGTATCTTTTAATTAGTATAATTGGGTTGGATGTTTCAAATTTGTTGACTACGTTTTTCTTATCAACACGAAAATATACACCATTGGAGCAAGTCTGTAAAGGACTCGCTTTTACCCATCGCGACTCATGCGTTTGACTTTGGTAATAACTTCACCATTAATTATTGTAGTATCATTGATTTACTCCCCACCAAAATAATAGCTTGTGTATAGGCATACATATACTTACAAGTTACATCTAAAGATTAAAGATGTTAGTCGAAGTTGAGCTTGAACTTATTTAGTTATTAGTCGAGCTAATACTCATTGAAATTTAAAATTATAGCTCGACTAATTATATTTAGCGAACATATATTTGGCCACAATTTAGTATGAACTTATTTAGTTATTGATCGAGCTAATACTCGTTGAAATTTGAAATTATAGCTCGACTAATTAATTTTAGCGAACATATATTTGGCCATTATAATATGGCACAATTTAGTATCATGAAACCAAATTCTCCACATACAAATCTTACACAACGAACAATTTTTCAATAATAATGAGATGAAGATGTTATAAACATGGGATCGATCAACCCCACACCGCACAGTTATAGTCTTTTCTTCTTTAAAAAATTCGGCCATGAAAATAATTAGTATTTATTTAATGATAGCCCACCTGTATTTTGGACGATCCCAGTTGACAGAAAACAATAAAAGTTAATGCCCACCTCAGATCTCTCCCTAAAACTTTGACATAATCAAGAAAACAGATACATCTAATTGCCATTTTTTTGTATTTTCCTCATCCAAAATTCAGGATCAAAAGCCCCATATCTTCAAATTGAACCCCACTTCAGTCTTAGCCGAAAAACTTCTTCAATTCCTGATAGCTTCAATTCTCTGACTGGTATTTGTGTATGTATATGTACACTGTACTATCAGCTACCTCTCTTCTTCGTTCATTTATTGGCTTTTATTGCATAAGAGTTCTTCTGGCCATAAAGAGTCACTGTTTCTTTTATAGCCTTATTGTGCAGTCTGTAGTCTGCAATGGGAAACTAGCTGTAGCCTGCAAATTTTCTCGTGGTCTATTGTCAAGTGGGTCAGTTTTTTTTTTTTTAAATTGTTTTCCTTTTCTATTTTTGTGGAATATGGATGAGCGATTTCCAATTTGAATTCATTGGTAAATCATCCTTGCGGATAGTTTTTAACATCATAAAGGTGGAACCTTTTATTTTACTGTCAAAAGATCTTACCTTTATCCTATTTAATGGTTCGACTAGGTGTAAAAAAAATTGTCTTTGAGGAGCTCCGATGGTTGGGTTTTTCATGCTTTGTTTGTTTGGTTTTGCAGTTTGGCAATTGTGGGATTTCATGAAATACTGTCAGAATTAAGTGAGGAATTTGAATTCTTGAGGTTTCAAATGTGAGCATTTCATCCCAGAAATATTTGGTAGCCCAGTGGTAAGACATTTGTTAAAAGGAAAAAGTATTTGAAGGTTGTGAGCAAGAGAAATTGAGCAATTCATGATAGGCTTTGTGTAAATTTAAGATCTTGATTATAACTCTCTCTCTCTCTCTCTCTCTCTCTCTCTCTTCTAGGTGAGGATCCCCAGAAATCATCATAGCTCTCAACTTGCATACATTCCTTTGTGTGGTTAATGGGAAATTGGAGTTTATTGCTCATCATCCTTGTGCTTTTTCTCAAAACATGCTCCTCAAGTGTGCAGCAAATCGGTAAACTGAACCGCGGATTCAAAGGATCCCAAATGTACTTCATAGACAACGATGGCTTATTCCTCGTGTCCAACAATTCCAACTTCGGCTTCGGTTTCACCACCACCCCCACCGACGTCACTCTGTTTCTTCTCGTCGTCATCCACAAGATGAGCTCCACCATAATTTGGACAGCCAACAGAGGCTCCACTATCCGTAACTCTGACAATTTCCAGTTCGACACCTCCGGAAATGCCTACTTACTCAGTGGCGGGTCCACCATCTGGTCCACCAACACCGCCAACAGAGGAGTCTCTGCCATGGAGTTGCAAGATTCTGGGAATCTCGTTCTGGTTGGTGATGACGACAGCGTGATCTGGCAGAGCTTTAGCCATCCCACGGACACCCTCGTGTCGAACCAGGAGTTTTCCGAGGGGATGAAGCTAGTGAGCGACCCGGGTTCGAATAACTTGAGCTACTCCCTCGAGATTAAATCCGGCGACATGATCCTTTCCGCAAATTTCAAGCCTCCGCAGCCTTACTGGTCCATGAGCAGCGACACCCGGATAACCATCAATAAAGATGGAGGCCAAGTGAGCTCGGCCGTTGTCACCGCCAATTCTTGGAAATTTTATGATCCCAACAAAGTACTACTCTGGCAGTTCATTTTCTCCGATGGCGGCGCTGCTGCTGCTGCTGCTGATAATAACTCCACGTGGGCAGCATCTTTAGGGAGTGACGGCTATATAACATTTACGATGCTTCTCGATTCTTCCCCGACCCAGTCCTCGACGAGGATACCTCAGGACGAGTGCAGTAGACCCGCAGCATGTGATCCTTACTACGCATGTTACCCTGGGAATAAATGCCAGTGCCCGTCGGGTTTCCCCTCGTGCAAATCCGTGGCCGCCCCCCCTTCATGTGGCGGCGGCGATCTCGTGAGTGGCGGTGAGGGGCTCGGCTACTTTGCGCTGAAATTCGTCCGCCCCTTTTCTTCGAAAACCACTCTGGCCAGCTGCAAGGCATCCTGCCTAGGGAACTGCTCGTGCGGGGCCATGTTCTTCGACCCGACCTCCGGGAACTGCTTTCTTTTCAACGAGATAGGAAGCATGGTGGGGTCCTCCGCCGGCTATGCCTCCTACATAAAAGTCTCCACCACCGGCAGCGGCGGAGGAAGCGGCGGTAAACACTTTCCGGTGGTGGTTGTCGTGATTGTGATCCTCACAGTGCTCGTCATATCCGGTTTGCTTTTTGCCGGGTTCCATTTCTTCTTCAAGAAGAACAAAAAGTTAAATGTGCCGGAGAGTCCTAAAGAGAGCTCGGATGAGGATAACTTCCTTGACAGCCTGTCGGGGATGCCCATTCGCTTCACCTACAGAGACCTCCAAGAGGCGACCCGCAACTTCTCGGTGAAGCTCGGGCAGGGAGGGTTCGGGTCCGTTTACCAGGGAACCCTACACGACGGGACCCGCCTGGCTGTCAAGAAGCTGGAAGGCATTGGACAAGGGAAGAAGGAGTTCCGGGCAGAGGTCAGCATCATCGGCAGCATCCACCACGTCCATCTCGTTCGCCTCAGGGGCTTCTGTGCTGAGGGAAGCCATCGCCTGCTCGCGTACGAGTACATGGCCAACGGGTCTTTGGACAAGTGGCTATTCCGAAAGGACAAAGAAGGAGTCTTGCTGCTCGACTGGGACACGAGGTACAACATAGCCGTGGGGACAGCAAAGGGCCTTGCCTACCTCCACGAGGATTGCGACGTGAAAATAGTCCACTGCGACATTAAGCCCGAGAACGTGCTTTTGGACGACCACTTCATGGCTAAAGTGTCCGATTTCGGGCTCGCGAAGCTCATGACTCGGGAGCAGAGCCATGTGTTCACGACTATGAGAGGCACGAGAGGGTACCTTGCGCCCGAGTGGATCACCAACTACGCCATATCCGAGAAAAGCGACGTGTACAGTTACGGTATGGTGTTGCTTGAACTGATTGGTGGAAGGAAAAACTATGACCCGACAGAAAGTTCCGAAAAATCGCATTTCCCATCGTATGCGGTTAAAATGTTGGAGGAAGGGAAAATAAGGGATATTATAGATGCCAAGATGAGGGTGGAGGAGGAGGACGAGAGGGTGGGAATAGCGATAAAGGTGGCACTTTGGTGCGTGCAGGATGACATGTATCTGAGGCCACCGATGACTAAAGTGGTGCAGATGCTGGAGGGGCTCAGCCAAGTGCCACCGCCACCAACGGCAAGTCAGCTGGGTTTGAAGCTGTATTCCAGCTTCTTTAGGTCGTTAAGCGAGGAGGGGACCTCTTCCGGGCCATCCGATTGTAACAGTGATGCATATCTATCAGCCGTTCGCCTGTCGGGTCCAAGATGACACCTTGTTTTTTGGTATTGTGATTGGCTTTTGCAGATAGTTCTTTTCTTTTTTCTTTTTCTTTTTCTTTTTCTTTTTCTAAAAACCACTTGTACGTACAAGGGTGACGAGTTTTTGTGGGTTCATTCTGTAAATTTCATAGACTAATAGCATAAATTTTTGTTAGCATAAGTTGTTATGATTTATGAAGCTAATATATCATGTTGGCACTGGAATTCTTGATCTGCAAATGTGTTTTTTTTNGGGTTTTTTTTTTCAGGATTTGTTTGTTATATGCACGCCATCAACCAATCTTACAGAACATACTTCCCTTGAAACTTATCTGCAGACTGGGGTACTGTATTTTATCCACACCCTAATAAGAGAAATAGGGGCGAAATAATGTCATTAGTTACGACAACTATTTATTCTAAACATGGCAATGATGGATGCCTTCTTGAGACCAGTAATTTAATTTAAATTTAATTGTAGAACTTTGATGTGGAATTTGATGATCCCTTGTAAGAAAAAGCATCTTCACAACATTAACATATGAATAGTATTTTTTTTTTTTAATAATTAAGCCATTCGACACGCTTCTCTTAAATTACAACACTTAATTATGTCCCCATTTTGATCATTTTCCTTGGAACTTTTGGAAAGTTGATATGTACATCCTCAGGCTTTGAAATACAAAAAGGAAAAAAAAGCAACTTTGGCAATCCCTACACTAAACAACACATATTCAATTGATTAAAGGCATACATTTTTCATAAATATATACATATTTGCATTAAAATATATCTTACTTTACAAAAATAATATCTCTACTATCTCTCTTATCTATATATGAAGAAGTGAGCCTTTTTGTGGTGGCGACACGTGTCCATTTTTGGTGTGTTAAAAAATTGACAAGTGTCCAACTTTATGTGCAATTACTTCACTGCCCCTTAATTGCCCTAATTTTTTCTGCTTTTGAGGTTAGGCATGTAATTTAATTTGGCACTTGCTTTGCCGGAAAATCTGATTTGCTTTTTGACTTCTCTATTCGTGTACGCAGGAATCTCGCGCACGCAAGATTGAGACAGAAACGTCTCACTCTTTTTACAAACCCTACCAAGCAACTACTCTTATTACTCTCATTTCCTGAGCAGCGGCGATGTCATCGACAGATCCAGTGGTGTCGACACCGAAGGCTGCGACGACGTTTTCCACGTGGCCACACCGCTGGACTTCGAAGAGAGAGAAAGAGAGAGCAAGGAGATGAAGGTCCGGCGGGTCACCACCGGAACCCGAGCCATCCTGCAAGCTTGCGCCCACTCCAAAACCGTGCTTCGCCTGCTCCGCACCTCCACCCTCGGCAAGGTGACCTTCAACGCGGAATTCTTCGGCTCCTCCGGCACGCCCGACGCCGTGGATGAGAGCTCGTGGACACTCCAGAGAGAATCAAGAACTGCCAGATCGCAGCTTCTATCAGCAAATTTGGGGTTTTGTTGGATTGATTTGGATAAAATTCGAATCTTTGTTGTCTTCAAACTTTACGTAATGGGTAAATTCTTTTTGGTGGGGCTTTTCATCTCTCTTATTTTTCATTGATTAGTGCTGGATTTGGGGTTTTTCAAGTGATGGCATGTTTTGAGGAAGTGGGTTTGCAGTGACTTCGCTTTTATTTTTATTTTTATTTTTATTTTTCTTTGGATCTTGGATTTATCCTTTGGTTCTTAATTCTGGAAAAACGGTCTTCTTTTTCGTCATTATTTTGGTGTTTTCCTATGGAATGAAGCTTGGATTTTACCCCTTGATTTGGTATTTTTCGTCATTATTTTGATGTTTTCCTAACTTTGGTATTTGACTGGAAAGTCCTTCAATCTTTTACCAACGAAGTGTTCATTTCTTTAATTTATTGGGTGCAGCAATTTGATTGGAAAAAAAAATGCATGTGTTGGGTGTTTCTGTCCCCTTTTGGTGCATCTAACTCCTTTGTCTTACTGTGCATGACTGCTGATAAGAAAAATTGGTGAAAAGGTTTCTGATTTTGTGTAAAATTTTCAGATTTTATAAATTTGTGGCTATTGAGCTGTTGATTTGTAAGTAATGTTATATGTTTCCAGACTCTACCAAGTTCTCTCATTACTGTATATATGTTGCTTGTAGGTGGATGCTTTTGTGGCAAAAAACGAGAATTTTTGCAGAGAATGCCGGTTTGAGCCCCTTACTACGTTCGATGCAGGTATATTGAATTGTGTAGACAATATTAAACAAAAAGAGTTATTTTTTGTTTTGAGCTCTGTTATTTTCTACTGGTTTATGTTTTACATTTTCTTTCCAACCAAATGTATTACTAAATGAGTGGACCCGCGCTGGTTTTGGTTTTGTATTTTCCTAGCATGATTATGCTTGGATTCAAAGCGGAATGATATTTCCTTTCATAGCTTATGTGAATAGGTGATTCATTATTGGTATATTTTGTTTCTTCTTTGTTTGACCTCTAAATAAATCACTAGGACCATGTGAGTATGGATTGGGATTCTGTTGGTTTAGGTTTCAAGGCAGACTGAACTTAATGATAACAAGCCCTGTGATCTACGTTCTGTATAGAAGAGGCATTTTTGGCGGAAAATGGTTTGTTGAAATGTTGATGGTTGAAATTAATGCGGCGGCTGGGAACTTGAATTATCTGCGTACTCTTATAAGGATACTAACGATAAATATAAGGTGGATATAATATTGCTCCCTCAAGTTTTCTTGACTCAACTTCTACTTTTGCACTGGAGATTCACCAAGCCTGCACTTCTTCCCTTTGGAAAAAAACATCAATTCTTATTGTTTTTCTAAAGAACACTTACTCAAGAAAATTCTTGGTTTTTTTCTCCTCTGTGTACAATATAAGGCTCCGACGGCATCTTTAACTGGCGACATCCATAATCACGATCAACACACAGCCTGTTCAAACAAAAAACATAGCTTGGAATGGGGGCGTTGATTGATGACCAGCATATGTGAGGTAATTGGGCTATCTTTAAATTCATCCTTCCAACTTGCAAAATAATTCAAAGCTTGTGTCTATACTTACCATTCTATTGGTCTATTAGGCAAGATCCAAATTCAAAATTCTTAACAGGGATGTTGGATATTTATGGCTTTGAGGGTTTCAAGACAAACAGGTGCTTAACCGATATGCTTAATCTTCTTTGTATTTACAAACCCTGTTTTTGCTATATTTCAATAATTTCTTATGCTACGCAATATCTTAATGATGATCATTCTAGCATGACGTTTAATGGAATGGTTTCCTTTCATCTATGCATTACAATTGTACTATTTTTACTTTTCTGTCTTGTATTCTATTTTCAGTTAATTATCTATGGTTGCAACAAATATGAAGTTGTAGCTTTGATGATAAGGTTTTTACTTTAAATGCTTGATGATCATGTTATAGAGTGATTATTCTCATGTTTCTCACACTTTCTCTTGCAGCTTTGAGCAGTTCTGTATAAATTTAACTGATGAGAAACTGCAGCGACATTTCAATTAGGTGCACATATCATATTCTGGTATATTTATCGTAATAAATGTAGAAGGTTGATATATAAAGACAGAAAGTACAATTTTTCTTTAAGATGACATGTTGTATTTTCTGGCAGCGTGTTTTCCAGTTACGTGATTAAAGTTACAGCATATTTGTGCCTTGTTTCCAACAGTTTTTGTCTAATATATTTATATCAGGGCACTCAGAAGTCCATAAAATCATGCACGTACGTATGAGATATTTGTATTAAATTGACTATATATATATATATTTTGTAAATTGTATTATGCTGCTGAAATTCAAATAAGATTTATATGTTGTAGATCTGTTTGATGTTTCCAGGTTTGTGGGACACTTCTAAATATTTTTCAGCGAAATAAGTATTGTTTTGTTGGGGAATCCATTTAGGTATGTATTTGGATTTTATGAGCGGAATCCATTTAGCTAGATTATATCCTTGTCATTTATTGTCTTACCTTTAGCAATTCTTTGACAGGGTGCATAAACAAAGTGGACCTTTTCTTAATTTTTTGTTGTATCAATATAGTAGTTTTTTATGAATTTCTGTTTGCTCTTACTTTACTTTAAAGTTGCCATTATTTCCGTCAATTGACTTCAACAATGTAGTCGCTTAATTTTTTGATATCACCGGGCTATAATTAAAAAAAAAATATTTACATGCCGCTTTTAGGATTGTAAATTTTACAAAGCATCATTTGTCTAGAAGTTTTAAAGGCAATTTGAAATAGGCGATCATCTTTGTGAATAGCTTTGTATTTAGTATATATTGCACAACAGAATCTGAATTATGTTATGTTTTTTGGACGACAAATTTACAATAGATTGTAGACTAAATTTGAGCCGGCCGTCTAGTCTCTACTATATATATATAAAGAAGTTAGTGGCATGCAAATGGCAACAAATGGCTTAATTCATGCTTGACAAGTGTCCAATTTTAATGCAATTACTTAAATGACCTTTTATTTAAAATTGCTAAACAATATCTTACACACATTTTGAGGGACAATGGTGTCAATTTAATGTCCTTAGTATTTTTGTTGTTTTTTGACTTTAATGTCCTTGTGTATTACGCTTTTAGGGGGTTCATGCGTAATTTAACGCATTTCTTCTTTCCTGCTGGCCTTACTTTTGCGGGATTTCCTCCCTAAAAATCCGGTACGACGTGCGCCGTAGATCTTCTGTGTCTTGACAGTTTCTTTATCTTTTCACGCAAGTTTTTTTTTTTTCATTTCGTTTCTCTCAATTACATTCTTCTGGCCCCAGTTTCGACCCTCTCTTTCTTTTTCGGCCCTCTCTCTCTTACCCGGCGCAGTCAAATCATCGGTGTTAATACCGACTCGCCGAAGCTGTCACATTCCCCAGGAGATCTATGGCCACTGTATTGCTGTCTTTGAATGACATGTTGGTCGGATTCCAAAAACTTCACCGTCCAGAAAAACCCTAGCGATTAAATTTTGATCGTGACCCCCAACTCGGCCTTCTGAGACCGACATCCCCCATACGACGTCGGGGAGATCTTCTCCCTCTTTGACCCATTCTGGTTCCAACCCTGGTTGTTATCCGGCCAGCGTCAGCCTGAGCCAAACCCGCCGCCAACACGGTCTCCTGACCGTCCTAGACGGTCAACAGGGTATGATGTAACTTTTTTTTTTTTGGGGGGGTGTGTGTGTGGTTATGATTCTTGGCTACTGTTTTCAGATTTCAGTGTAGGGATCATGATCTAAAGGTTTGATTTTGTGTCTTTTTATAGGTTTTGTATGATTTATACAGTTGATTGAGCTTCCAACCTCAAGTTTTCTGGATGTTAGATTGTTGTTGTTTATGCTACTATTTTCAATCTTTCAACTTTTGAGATATCTCCTTGCATGCTTCTCAAATCTAATTATTTGTTGCTATTTCTTTTGTTTATTGACTGTTTAGCTTACTACCAAATTGCTATAAATTATTTCAATTATTAAGCTATCCATTGGACAATTAAAGAATTTGTGTTCTTCGTTGTAGTGGAATGCAAACAACTGAAGCGCTTAAACTACAGATGGAGGTCAAAAAGCGACTTCATGAGCAATTGGAGGTATATGATTTTCTGCTTTATTGCAAATTCGATTAGCATAAAGGCGTTGTATTCCGTCAGAAATTTTTCGATAACCATTTCCCTTTTTATTACTTGTTTTTGTTTGGTGAATTGTTTATTTTTGCAGGAACAAATGTGCAGTTGGACATTCAGTGTCGGCAAAGGAGATTATTGAGGTGATGCCATGTGAAATTAACGAGGCTATTTCTTATGAAATTTCTGGTATGATGATTTGGTGCTTTGGTTTTTTAAGTTTATTTTGATGGCTGTTAAATTATGTGAGTTACTAAAATTTGAATTGTGGTATGCCCTTCAGTCCCATACTTATGCCTGATTATATTCTTTTTGGTAACTTTCACCCTTGTATTTATCCAGGTCATACTGTCGAATCATGGGGCAGAGTACACCTTCACGGGCTAAACCAAGTCAAGTGGACATTTGATAGTTCTACAAAGGTTGAATTAATTAACATTAGTATCTTCATTCTATGAGAAAAAATTGTTCGCAATTTGAAAGAAAATGAAGAGAATTTGATTCTCACTTTTCTATCCTGAAGAAGAAGGATTTTTTTTTTTTGCTCATTTTTCAGAATTTGAATACATTTTTTCTTCACATCTGACTCAAAAAAGATTTGCTCAGTATCTAAGAACCAGCGGGTGAAGCGAAGCCAGAAGATAACTCACCGGTAAGAGAGGTGGCCCTCACAGTATCGACCATGGATGGTCCCTCTCTCATTCTCTTTGAAATACCAGAATTGGTAGGTATCTTCAGGTGAGGTAACTCTAAATTAATTCTTTTGGCTTTTCCTTGATTTTTTCCTATACAACTTCGGGCACAAAACGGGGGAGATGAAAACGTAATGGTTCTTTCATGCTAGAACATTTGGTTCATTTGTCGATTATACTGGTTCTGGTTTTCGTGAATGAGGCTTTTATTATTTGCATTTTACGCTGACATGGGTAGCTCGAGAGATATTGCAATAGGGCCCGTGGCAGTCGTTTCACTTCTTCTAAGAGCTATGCTACAAAATGAGATTGACCCGGTCAAGAATGCACATTATTACCGTTGGTTGGCTTTCACGGCAGCTCTTTTTGCTGGCATAACACAAGCGACCCTCGACATTCTCCAGTAAGATATTTCTTTTTTTTTTTTTTTTNATGTTTCTTTTTTTCTGGTTTAAATGGTTTAAAAGGGATTTTGAGTAATGTATAGCAAAAATATTTGTCTTTCCGCGGATTGGGGTTCTTAATAGACTTCTTGTCGCATACGGGCATAGTCGAGTTCATGGGTAGGGCCACCATAACAATTGCTCTCCAACTGCAAAAAGGCTTTTTAGGCATAAAAAAGTTTACCAAGAACTCAGATATTGTTTAGGTTATGCCAGTCTGTTTTCAGCTCTGCCCATCATGGAGTTAGTATTCTCTATCTCACACACGCACATTTTTTTTTTTTTTTTCATTTGTGGCTTACTATAGGTTACTAAATCAAGGGGTGTGATCCAAGATGAAGATAAAAATGCTGATGGACTGCAAGAAGAACTGTATCCACGTGGCCATTCCTAAGCTGTGGGATGGGAAAGAGAGGCCGCCCTGCATACCTTCACCCAAGCCCGAGGCGGTGGTGAAACCGAGTGCTTAAATAAGACTTACATAGGTAGGAAACATTATTGGAAAACTACCCAATAATATGTCATAAAAACTTTGTCAAATATGTGCCTTTGGAAGCTGGTAGCCAGTTATGTTTACACTTCTTCTATTTGCAGGCAATTTGCTCAGTGTTCACGGGTCCGGAAGCTCCAATACATAGCTGAACTGAAAGACATGCAAGCCTTGCAGTCAAGTATTAAATCCTTCATTTTGACTACATGTAGATGGACTTCATGCATTACTTATTGTTTGCATAGCCATGTTTTGTGTAATTGCAGGCAGACGGTTTTGAAGCTTCTGCGAAACTCGAATTCATTAACCAGCAAAATCTCATTATGAACATGGAGAATAAAGCACTGAAGCAACGCCTAGAGAGTATAGCTTAGGAGCAACTATCAAGTATCGTAAGTCAATATATCCAATCAGTCCCCGAATGTTTTTATTTTGCAGGCTTCTCGAAATTGTATGTTAATTTGTTAAGTAAATTGTGTTTTGAACCCTGTATGGTTTTCTTTTCGCTCATGTATTTCGCCGAATTTCCACAAGTCATAGGTACAACTTTTTTCTTGCTTTTGACAGAATTCCCGCACACGTAAGTCGAGGATAGAGGAGGCATCTGGTAAACACCACCCCTCTTCACAATCTCTCATTCCAATTCACAAAAGGAACAATTCAGTCACTCACATATTCACAGGAAACTAGATCGTGGATGAACAAAGACAAAGGCGGGGAGGAAGTCTCCTCCGACGACTAGAGGTGTGAAGAGGCCCCACCTCTTCCGTCCCAGGATGGTAGTTCTCCATGAGATGAACTTACTGGGTTGATCCCAAGAAGAAACTCTACCCTACTCTCAGAATCTCACTCATATCCCAACACGGCTGCACATTTTTCTGTCTACAAGATTGCAGCTCATCAAGACTCCAATCCAAATTCAGGTATTGATGTCTGGATGCTTGGCTCTTTGTTGTCGTACATTGAAAAATAAAAACTCGATTTTGAAATCAATATCTATGTAAGTTCCCCAGGTTTCATTTCTACCTAATTTTTTTGATTAATTTTTTACTTTGGTGATCTAAGACGTTTCTAATTGTCAAGGAAATTGATAGGGTTCCGAGAACTGATCGTGCATCTTGTTTTTGTGTATAGAAGTAATTGTTGTTTTTGTGGATTTGGAGAATGTGAACTCATGTGTTGCTTTAGAAAGATTTTTGCTTTAATATGCTGAATAATTAATTTATGCCCAAAACTGTTATTGTACTGCTTGGCGAATGGAATTTAAGAGAATCAACTTATGTGTCGATTTATTGTGTTCTTGTCGGCCTATTGGTTTATTTCTTTTGTTATGTGTGTGCATTATATTTAGTAGAGGTGAGATGCTTTTACAAGTTTAAGTTTTAGGCACAGCATTGTTAATTCACTCTTCTTGATAATTTCGTGTTGATATTGTCGTGTTATTACTCAACATTACTTGCACAATTGTTTGTTTGTATTTCCACATGGTTGAATGTATCGTACATGTATCATTTTTTAGTGTACGACATTAAAATCTACCTTTGTGGACGTGGCGATATTTGGAATTGGCTGTGTGGGAAGCCTGGGATTGTAGACATTAGCACTTCTGAGTTTCTCAACTTCCATACTTGCATTGTGAGCCATTAACGTCCATGTATATATTATGTATAACTATTGGTTTGAAGGAAGGTATCGATAAGGAAGTACTTTATCTTGGATGATTGATAAGGTCTGCATTAAGTAATAAGGAACAAAAAATAAAAATAAGAACAAAAAATTCACGTGTAGCATACAAAGGGCAACCAAAATGCTAAAATAACGTGGCAATAATGTAAATAAAATGAAACAAGCAGGTAACTCACCCAAATCTACTTTCACACATTTATCTTCAGATTGATTGTGGATTGTGGTTCTATTTTGTGGCATGTTTCGTATTGAATAAAAACTTATGGTTGTAATTGTCAGATTGTGCCTGCTTTTTACTTTGGAATTGCCCTCTATTCGGTCGGTGCCGGTAAACAAGTGTACTGTAATTATTAGAAAAATAAAGTGAATGCATGTAGTTTATCCATAATTTATGTGAGATGGTTCTTTTACCTACTACATGGTCGGACAACTTTGACAACATAATTAGCAAGGAAAATATTTGGATGAACCTAGAATGCACTTCCTATTATGTAGTTTTTGCAACATCTTATAAATTTAAGATGTTGCAGGTCCCCGAGTTATTTTTCATGTAGTTTTTTTATATTAGTCCGCTTTGTTATTGATTTACACCGTGCAAGATTTCAAGCCTATTCAGGCAGTTTTTTCAAGGTACACATTTTAGATTCTTTTTTATTTTTTTTAATTTTCGTGATTGTATTAAATTTAATAATAATAAAAAATTATTTATTAATTGAATTGATTATTTTAAAATTATGTCTGACATTTCTAAAAAAAATAATGATAAAAAATAAGGGATTGAACTCTGTCCCAGATGCGTACGTTTAACATACATCAAATTTTAATTTCATTATTAACTAAATTTGAGCCGGCTGTGCGTGCACAGTCGGAAGCCAACTAGTATATATATATGAAGAAGTTATAGGCCTTTAAAAAGTGACAAGTGTCCACTTTTGTAGTCTTTAAAAGTTGACAAGTGTCCAAGTTTGTGTTCATTTTTATTTACAATTTGAGTCATTTTATTTTGCTATTTTTGTTGCACTCACGTTGGTGTTTTTTATTTTGGTCCTTATTTGCCCATTTCGCGACTTCCAAGTTCCAATACAATTCATTGGTGATTTTTTTTTTTTTTTGGTGAATTGAATTTCTCTGTACCCTTTTCCGGAATTCCCGGGTCAACACAATTCCTTTCTCGCACAATTCTCGCACACGCAAGTTGGATGGAGACGGGAGCAGGTAAAATCCCTCTTTACAAACCCTACCCAACCAAATTACTCTCATTTACAATTTTCAAAAGGAACTACAATGAGTGTCAATGACGACTCGAATGATGACTGGCTACCAGATCACCGACTCAGCCAGCTCCGACAACGGATTTATCATGGGATTCTTCGCCTTCTCTCGCCAAGAATCGAGCCCCAGGGCATCCGACACCTCCTCGGAGCTCCACCTACCCTTTTGGAGCACATTGGAGAACCGATCCGCTTTCAGCGGCAGGGCGTCCATTATCATCTGGTTGTTGACAATCACCATCTCGCTATCAAATAAACCGGACACCAGCACCCCGAATTTCGACCATCCGCCCTCCATCAGAACCGGCCCAATTCCGGTCACGTAATCGTCGAGGATGAGGATGATTTTCCTTCACTTTCTGATTATTAAATCCAGCCAGCGGGAAAAAGGAGGACGAGGATATAAGCTCAAATGTCTTCTCGTGAGTATTATTTATAATTTTTTGTTTTCAGTTTCTTTATAAATCTGTGACTCTGTATAACTGTGGCCAATATCCTTTTTTTGGTTCTGTTTTTTTATTATTGCTAATATATGTGTTTTAATTACATATCTGACATGAAAGAAGCTGAGGTTTAGTGACAAACATTTGGCTTTCCATTCCTTTGTTCTTTTTCGTGTGTGATTTTTTCCGGAAGGTGAAAGTTTTATGTGTATTGATGCCTTGAATGGTAGGTGCTGAGGTTTGGATGGACTGGGATATTTAGAAAGTATTTGGTGGCCGCGTTCGAACAAAGAGCACGGAAGGCAGTCCTCAGCCTGCTCCGACGATGTGGAACCCCACCAGGACTACAAGATCTGTGTCTGGTAGGTCGATGCGAACTAACCCAAGTTCAAAAAAATTGCCATCCTGCTAACCATTGACGTCAAAGTTCGCCGGCATAGACGGTGTACAATGAAGCTGCGGTTGAAAATCATCGAGAAGGTCTGCATCGGAGGCTATGGTAGGTGGACGCAACGCCAAAATGTCTTCACCTGTGCTTGAAAATATGTTTTCAAGGGATTGTTAGGTTTAATTTGTACCCTGGTATTGTTGACTAAAGGATTGTTAGGTGCTGCAATTATGATATAATTTTTTTGAATGTGAAAATGTGCTGCTTGACTATGTTAAAACTAACATAATATTTTTCTAATGAGCACTAAGTTAAAATTTTCTAATGACCATCCGGATAATGAAATGTTGCAATGTTATGGATCAAATTAATTTGTACAAGAGTCCTCGCAAACGCAGATTGAAACCATTTGCAGATTTTGTAAAGGTGATTAAAATGCCATACTCTCCCGTGGTCTGGTTCTTGGATTCTAATGTGATAAAACTGTTTTTTCATTGCATCAGATTGCTGCTGTGATCTTTCCAAGAGTAGAAGAGCTTAAATTCCATGGTGGCAGGAGATTTCAAGAGATGGGAAATGAAGCTCCTGATGAATAAGTAAATGAGATGTTAGGTATTCTCATAAACAGAATAGAGATTCTTGGTTCTGTTCGGTGACAATAACATTTCTTTTCATGATTTGAAGTTTCAAACTATTTTTTGGAAATCAGTTATAATCTGCCCACGAGCAAAGACATGCATATGGCTGATGAGTACTACGATCAGGTACAACTTAAAATCTACTTGGTATGTTTCATTGTTATTTACTAATTCTTTTTCAGCTAATTAAAGTACAAAATTAGTAAAAGAGACCCAAGAGTAGGAAGGTGCAAGATGGAAGTTGTTTAACCGACTATTATCTTCATTTGTTCAAGTTGTTGTCTTCCTATATCTAACAAATTACTAAATCCTATTCCTATGTTATGTCTCGGGGGAAATTGGGTTATTTTGCAAAGTGTACGACTCTTGAATAGCACGAATGGTCTATATAGCTGATGATATGCATCTTCAGTTGAATTATATCTGAACAGGTTCTGAGACAGGGAAAGGGAGAGAAATAAAGAAAGAGAGGGAAGGGGCAAAGATGGGGACAGGGGTAGAGAAGGCACTAGAGACGAAACTGGTTTTGGAGATGAGCTTTTGACATTTTTTTTTCGGACAGTTACCTTTTTGCTTCAATGCGTGCATCTTTGTTTAATAGATTCTCATTGTATGGAATTGTTCCTTTGGTTGTGGGTACATATTGCTCCCTGTCAATTTCAGCATTTTATTTCCAACTTTTTCCTATTGCCTGTGTATCTCATGTTGCTGGTTTGGTTGGCTTTATTGGCCATTTTACTTAGCTTGCATGCTACTCGATGGTCCTCACTTTCTTCAATTCCGTGTGCAAAATTGTGATCTGCAGGTGGAAGTGTGGATAGTTTTGACAGGTTTGGCTGTTCATACTGTCTGCGTGTGTTGCCTATTGGTTGTTGTTGGCCTGTTTTTTTTCCCCATTTTTATTTGTTGTTCGCTATTTGTTCGGGTTTTGGTTGTGTTTGTGCATGCACAAGTGGCTTCTTTTTCCCTTTTTCTTAGATTTCTTTTGAAAAAAAAGTGTCTTGCTCTTGTTGGTGATCTTGCTAGATCTGATTCTCTCTCTGGTGCTCTTTTTCCATTGTTTTAATGGCCTTGTGTTTGTGGCTGGATTGAATGGTAGCCTGTTTGTTGTGTTATTGGAATTACATTTCTTGTTGCATTTTTTTGTGTGCCTCATTTCAAATGTGTGTTGCTTTGCTGTGACGGAATATGGCCTGGTGGATTGTCGTAATTATGTCTTGGTGTTTTTAACAACTGTACACTTGGTGTTGAGATTGTTTTACAGGTGCTGCTGTGTGTGGTGGACCAATGGTGCCTTAATTCTCTGGTTAGCCTTAACTATTTTACTTTACATCTATGTTCATTTATTAAAAGGTTTTAGTTTTTGGTCAGCATTGATTTGGTGTGCTCTATATTCGTTTAACGAATAATGATGATTGTGCTGCTAGGTTGGAGATTAAACTTTAATTATTGCTGTGGTGGACCATGGTGCCTTAAACTTTCAATTTCGCTTGGAGAATTGTCAAAATCATAATGTTCAATTTGGTGGATTGAGTAGGCAGGTTGATTTTATCCTTTTGAAAAATATGTTAGTTATATTTGTTTGAAAATTGAATTTATATTTGTTCGATTATAACTGATATTTGGATCAATGTTCGTGTAGATAAAAGACATGTTCTTGACAAACATATTCTGATGGAGGGAAAATTGTAAGGAGTGATCATATTACAGTCCCTCTATTATGTGGGTTAGGTGAATGCTTATTAAAAAGTGGGCATGGTCTATTTAATTTTTAGTATGATTGTAGATGTTTGATTTGTAGCTACTTTTTATATTCTCACATAGATACATTGAAAAGAGTGTAGGAAACCATAAAGTGGAAAATTTGATTTAGATTGTTTTTATTGTGCTTATAAAATTAATCTAAGTTCAGGTCTTTTTGTTTGCTGCTTAGAGAGAGAGAGATACACAACAAAAATGAGCAAAAATCAAGAAAAAAACTCAATTTCCCACCCATTACAAACCTTGTACTCTATTACCAAAATCTTGTAGCAATGTATTCAAAAATATTTTGTTTTTGAGTTAATGAAGAGATAGTAGGTTGGGATGTGCGTATTTAATCTGTGACGCTTAACACTTGTTTGAAAATGAGTAGGGGATAATAACAATAATATGAAAGAATTTTCAGACAACGTCAACTGCCACCAGTGTTCTATAAGTCGCTAGACGCTCGCTAGGCGCCCGACCAAAGCCTAGCGCCTAAGCGGGGCCTAGAAATTAATATTAAATATCTTATTTTGTTTATTTTTTTCACTACCTAAAAAATAAAACTACTTCAACTTATAATAAATATCCACACACTTAAATCCAAACAATAGTATTAATATTATAATGAGAATTAAAAATATAATAGCAATTAGCAATCCACATTAGCAACCCACAGGACAAAAAGTTAGTAATATTCTTTTTGGAATTTCATCGAACATATTGTCTACATTTTATGTTTTTAGCAATTACAAATTATAATAACATTATATCAACCAACCAACATCAAAATTCATAAATTTCAGACAACAAGATTCCAATAAATATCATTAAATCTTAAAATTAAGAAAACCTGATTACATAATGTATAAATGACAATTAAGTGAACTAACATAATGCCCAAGAATCCCATACAAATAATAAAAATACATGAGTGAGTGACAAAAGGGAGGGTCGAATCCAGTGACCAGTCACGTCCGACAACGAGTGGGGTCCGCCTGAAAAAGAAGGCCGTGAACGGGGGTGTGTGACTGTGAGTTTCTGCTTCTGTTTGGTCCAAACCCAAGGCACCCG